GAATGTTCTTACTGTCCTCACTCCTCCTTGACGTTGTGAACGTGGTTTCGTCGGTGGGTCTCAAAGTACTTTTTCCGATGTCTCGAAAAGTTTTCGTTTGATGAAGTGAAACCCCACACCTGACACCAAATTTTATGTAGTAACCCGTCGCTCTCACTTGATTGGTTACTGCACACTTCTTTAACGACGAATGCACGTACACGTCGTCGCAATGAATCGGAGGATGGTGGTTGAAGTGAAGGTAGAGTAAGAATAGTTTAACACAAAATGTAGTTAATTATAGATATAATGTTTATTAACACGAAACTAATAATATAATTAATTTAAAGTAATTTAAAATTTGTCGACAGAATAATAATTCTACCGGAGAATAGTTGTAATTGAAATTATACTTGATGTGGACGGCAATGCGGCTGTTTCTAGTCCGCGACCCACACAAGTATTGTTAAGCACTGGTAATTACTTCTATGTCTGAAAAGTCTGTGAAACAGGGCCCCTATTTATATGAGACATGCCCGGGATTTAGGAAAGGATGATTGACGTCATAGGAATGGCGTGATGTGTAGTTGATCAGTATTAACCAATGAGGCGGCAGCCTCAGTGGCCTATTTTGGTGACGTGATGTTGTTCAGGCCACCTAACCTTTAGAACGCCGTTTTTGTGTAAAAACGTCGGTTTACTACAACAGTATAACATAAAATAATATATATTCAATTAATTAACCTACTAAAATATAATATTTAGATATTTAGGTAATATACTAGTTTAGGTTACAGTTATATATTAGATATTATTTACTGTATTGAATACATATTTTACGAAGTAATTATTTAATAATGCAATAAATATAAGGCGCGTATAGGTACGCTCGAATATTAAAAATATTACGGCGGTAATGCAGTATAATATACGTGTATGCATTTTATATTTACGTGATCCGCCACAGACGAAGGTTGATAAAATAATAAACATCGCTCCCGAATGAGCTAAATTGTCGGCCAGCCGCCGACTGTGAGTAGTGGGCGCGGCTTAAGCGTCGCGTGCTTGCGGATCGCGAAAACACCTAACAGCGCGTTCTCTCGGTCGTTGTATACGTTTCGCTTTCGGTGTGGCGTCCTCTTAAGCCGCATCGCCGTGCTCGCGAAAAGCGAACGCCGTTTGGACGGCCGTCAAAAGGTGTTTGAGCGTCAGCGAGCGGACGACCGGCTCCGCCGCTCTCGGACTTATAATACCCGAGCTTTGCGAAAAAAATCGAACCTCGAGACGCACGTATTTATGCCTGTATATAGCGGTACCTACTCGATACCCAATCGGTACCTACTCTAGTTTAAGAGACGCCGGTCCTCCCCGGGACTCGTTGTTGAAAAAGTAGGGCAGTGCGCCGGCTATAAATTTAGTGGAGAACGCGAATAAGATCCAAACGGGGTCGACGGCGGCGCTCATATCGCGCGCAATATCCGCCGCCTCGGGTTCGCTGGGAAAAAAGCAGGGCCGCGCGGCGACTATAAATCTAGCGGAGAACGCGAATAAGGTCCGAACGGGGCCCCCAGGCCACCCAGGGGGGGCAAAGCCGAAAGAATCTGAAAATTTTTGAAAATTTTGAAAAAAACGTTAAAAAGTGATAAGAGGAGTGATAACGCAGCGATGGAATTTTCTCATTGGCGAGGTTGACTAAGTCAGGGCCGATTTAACGCATAGGGAGCGCCACACGGGTTTTCGTTTTATATAGTAAGAAGATAGATAGATAGAATAGTTCTCCGAGCGTCGCTGGGGGACACCCCCAGACCCAAAATGAAGGGTCGTTAGTGTTTTCGATTTCGGAAGCAGCGGTGGTCTCGTGGTGCGGTCGTGGGTCTCAGCCGACACGGTGTATGGGTGCTGAGGAGGTATAGTGATAAGGATGTATGATAAGGCTAGGAGTGCCTAGGACCACTGCGGTTCGACTTGGTAGCTCGGGCAGGCCATCCGGACGGCCGGGTCGTCGAGTAGCGGACAAAGTCTTTGACAGAGTCTTTTCGACAACGCCGCCGGAAATTCGAAATTCCGTAAAAAAATAATAAAGTCAATGTATTTTTGTGGGTTTTTAGCCATGTCTTCGCCTTAGTAATAGTATTTGGGGTCTAGCAGGTCAGTCACGTTCCTCGACTTTGGTCGTAGTCTCCCTGGAAGGCAATCCGACAATAATCGACAGCTGGGGCACGTCATCACGTATGGAATCCGACTGCGTCGAATCGAGGACGACGTTCATTACTGTTACTGAAAACGCAAAATTAAAGAATAAATTACTTGAAGAAAATTCAAATTATTTCTGGCGTCCGTGTAAATCATATAGCCACCGTCTGATTTTTTGGTGTCTAGCAGGTCACCCATCTATGTTACCCTTGTAGGCAATCTGACTCGATGTTGGAGGTAGACAACGTGACGACCGGTTCGAGTCATCGGCTATATAATTTACGTGAAAATATGTTTTGGGGTCTAGCAGGTCAGTCACCTTCCTCGACGTTGATCGTATTTTTGTGGGTGTCTAGCAGGTCAGTCACCTCGAAATGATGTTCGCCGTAGTAATAGCGGACAATGTGTGACGGCCGCGGGTCACGTCATCAGGTATGGGATCCGACTGCGTCGAATCGCGGACACCGTTCATTACTGTCACCGAAAACGCATAATTAAGTAAAAATATCATCTGGTCGTCGGTCTCCAGCCGGTCGTTGTGTCATGACATTTGCACCACCGTGGTTCCACGTGGTAGCCCGTGTGAGCAACAACGTTCGCCGAATGCCCCCGGAAATTTGAAATCCCGTAAAAATCATATTGTTGCCACGATTTTCTTCCTCTCTACCAGGTCATTCAACTCGAATGACGTCCGCCTTAGTAATACTTCTAGGATATATGACAATGTGCGACGGCCGAGTTGTATAGCTGCCCTTTAGTTTAGGTGTCTACCAGGTCAGTCGCCTTCCTCGACGTTACAGCACATAAAATCATAACGCAGAACCTACCATGATTATGAAAATCTCATATAAAAAATAATTATATTATATATTATTATATATTCGTTGTATTTTTGTGGGTGTCAAAATATTTCGGTTGTCCATGCAAATCATATGAATGGAGGACAATTTCCCCCCGGACATTTCCCCCCCGACTGTTTTTGGAGTAGTATTACATTTCCCCCCAATATATATTCGATGGGGACATTTTCCCCCCATTTCTTTTTTTAAGTTTATTATTTATTATTTAATAAGAAATTATTTTTTTTCAGTAAAGTATAATTTTTTTTTATAAATATAATCAATTATACCTACTATGATTACCTATTATAGTAGATGTATATTTTTGATCAATTCAACTACTTAAAACAATAAAATAATAGTAATATTATATTTAAAAGATTGTCTAAATAAAAAATAATAGTACTAGCATACTGTATTATTCGCTAGTAACATTGAAATCTAAAATTGTATCTAAAACCTAATCAATTGCTGGGCTGTCAAAAACTATCTTATTATTTGATTTATTAGATTATTAGATAAGATTCTTCTACAATCTTATATCTTCATGAGCAAAGATTTTGGACTTTTGTATAAACATTTTTCAAAGCAGTGGTAGTCATTTAGTAGTGGTTTAGTGATTGTAACTCGTAATTCGTAAAGTGAAAAATATATAAAATAAAAATTTTTTTATGTATTATTATATTTTTTTTTGTATTATTAAAAAAAAAAAAATGAAATTTATAGTATACATTTATAAAGTTAAGTGTAATAGGTATAATTAATTATATTTATGAAAAAAAATAATTAAAAAAAAGGGGGGAAATGTCCTACTACGCCAAAAACAGTCGGGGGAAAATGTCCGGGGGGAAATTGTCCGGATACCAATCATATAGCCACCGTCTGAATTGATTGGTGTCTAGAAGGTCAGTCATCTATGTTATCCAGGTAGGCAACGTGCGACCAGGACAGCGTCCATTACAGTCACCAACAACTCAAAATTAAGTTATGAATTATGTGAAAAAAAATTCAAAACATTTCGTAAGCAATCCGACTACCGAGTCACCCTCCTCGACGTCATTACGCCAAAATTTAGGTCTACGATTTTATAATTATTTATTATTACTAACAATTAGTTATTACCTACCAATACCACAGATGAAATATCTATTGGATTTTAACCAAAAAAAACCGAAAAAACCTCTACATCAAATTATAGGTTTCGGTTTCTTTTTTAAAACAATGTATTTAATTGTTCCGGTCCGGTTTCGGTCCTAAGATTTTCAAAAGGTTTCGGTCCAATACCGGTCAATTTCGGTACGGTTCCAGTCCCTGTTATGAACTAATAAATGCATACATATCAATATAATATTACAGTTGTCAGGTGAGTTGATTGGTTGAGGTAATCAAATAGCCACTTTCTTATTTTGATAATTAATAATTTAATATAAAAAGATCTTTATATATTTAAGTAAAGTTTGTAGGTAGTAAAGTTATCTAATATTTGTATAATATTTTCTATACTATTTGATATTACTTACATAATATATAGTTGTACCTACCTTGTATATTTATTAACCCGCGATAACTCGCACTGTTAGAAATAATCTAACATTCAACTTATTTTTAGAATAACAATAATCGATTAAATGATAAATAGTTCTCCTTCCATCAATGCTTTATCTATATCACTATAGAACTAATAATATCATAATGGAAGATAAGATAACATTATTTGACAATTGTTTTCAGTTTAAAGTTGACGGTAAGCAAATTGTTAGTAGTAATCTAACGCGCGAGTGATCACGACACCCGAGTTGTTAGTAATAATCTAACGCGCGAGTGATAACGACACCCGACTTGTTAGTAATATTCTAACACGCGAGTGTTTACGCGGTGATTTTTGTATGTGTGTAAAATTCAAATTAACATTTTCAAACTAATATCATTATTTTTAGTGTCGAGTGTCATTTTATGTTATTGTTTTCTTTGTAATTGTTTACTGTAATAATGAACAACGATAAAATTACAAATAAAGTAATAGAATGGTTGCAAGAAGATGAAGATACAAACATCAGTGACCTGAACTCAGAAACAGATACAGAATCTGAGCATTCAAATCATGACACAGAATCAGAACAGTCAGGTAATAGTGATTCTGATAATACACATACCCCGGCTTCAAATAATTTACTGAATACCCCTTGTTATGTTGGAAAAGATGGTACGAAATGGCTAATGCATAAGCCACAAACTACAAAAACTGCTCGTCAAAATATAATTACAAAATTACCGGGAGTGAAAGGTGCAGCTAAAAATTCAAAAACAATTTTAGACTGTTGGAAAATATTTTTTCCCGATAATATAATTATTTATATTGTCGAATGTACAAATCAACAACTTAATTTAATTCGTTCTAATTATACACGAGGTGAAAGAGACTGTCCACCAACAAATTTTGAAGACATTTTAGCATTTTTTGGGTTATTATATTTGGCTGGTGTAAAGAAGGCTCAGCATTTGAACACCGATGAATTATGGTCTACCGACGGTACAGCTCCTGAATTTTTCTCGGCAACTATGTCTAAAAGACGTTTTCATACTCTCGTACAAGCAATTCGTTTTGATGATCGTAATAGTAGATTAGAGCGAAAAAAGACTGACAACCTAGCGCCAATCAGATATATTTTTGACCAGTTTTTAAAATCATGCATAGAAAGTTACACAATAAGTGAATACGCTACTATCGATGAAATGTTAGAAGCATTTCGTGGGAGGTGTAAATTTAGGCATATATAGAAAATAAACCCGCCAAATATGGCATCAAAATATACGCTCTTGTTGATGCTAGAACATTTTATACTTCCAACATGGAAATATACACTCCTCAAGGAAAGCCACGATGTACATACTGTCCAATACGTAAAAATAGATTCACACAGTATCAATGTAGCCTTTGCTCCAAACCAATTTGCAAGGAACATACTGCATCAACTAACCTAATTTGCCTCATTTGTAATAATCCTCAAGATTCAGATGATTAATATTATTTCAATTTTTTGCATGTATACATAAATTTAAGGTTTTAATTTATCAGTACTTTTTTTTTCAAATTAAATATAAAAATATAAAATGTATTGTAAGAATGTATACATTAAGTAAACCTATTTACTCATTTGTAATGATGGTTTTTTTTTTAATGTATTTCAATAACAGCTTTAAAACACCTAAAGTGGTAAAATATCATATATATTGTCTTTTGTAAATAATGCAATAAATATAAATTGTATAAAAAGGAATTTGTGTTTTGATGAAATTAAATAAACTAATTGAGTGTTAGAAAAAATCTAACACGCGAGCAATTGCGTAAAAGAAAACGCGCGAGTAATCCTGGGTTTTAAATTATGAGAATTAAATCAAATTAATAAATAGATCATTTTATTGATGAATAGCAAATTTGATTGACCCGAAAAATACTGTCCTATTAAACGTAGGTATGTATAAATGTATACACTATACAATGCATATAGTTTGTATTTTTTGGCATTTATCTTACTGAGTAGGTCTACTATCATAATATTTTGCTGTTATATTGTATGACTGTAAATAATATATTATGTACCTACCAATTTATTTAATGTCATATGATATGATTATTTAGTCATTATAATTGCGCATTTATAATGGTGCATCACTATGTTATGACTTATCTGGTATGTGTATGCAAGTGTGTATGAATGTAGCTTATATTGTACACTTAGTACATCTATGGGTATAATAATAGTAATAATACATCTATATTATAATACATAAGTCATATGTAAGTACATAATATACAGTATCAATTAGTTATTCATCATTTATTAATTATGTATTTGTTTTATTGATTTGAAACTCATGTAAATATACATGATAGCCCTACCTATATTTTGAGTAATATCTAATTATGTCATATCATTATACAATTTAACTGCCAGAATTTAATTAAATACATAATATAGTTAGTAATTTTTTGTTTATTAATATACATAATTTGAGTCACCTAAAAACTGTAATATATTAAGTAGTACCTAGGTATACCTACATGTAGGTTAGTTATATTACTTGTCTTCCAAGATCTTGATATTGAAGATACTGCAAAAGAAAAATTAACTGCACACCAATGATGGAGAAAATGCCAATACTGGTAAAAACGGTGGATTATGGGTACGCTTGAAGCAATACTTAAAAAAGGATATATTTTGTATGTGGTGCGTTGCTCATAGATCGGATTTGGTATTATCTGATTTAGAATCCACTATTACAGAAGTAAGACATTGGAAGACCAATTTGAAGGCTGTCGCCACCTTTTATCGAGGATCTACTCTTCGTTACGGTTGGCTTGAAAAAATAGGTGAAACTAAAAAAATTTCAATTTATCGGTTTCCCGCATATTTTGAAGTACGATTTGCTGAGCATTTATTAAATTTGTCTAAAGCTCTTTGGAAAAACTTGCCATGTATGCAAATACATTGGCAATCAATTATTGAAAGCTCTGACTCAACAAAAATTGAAAAAGCTACTGCTAAAGGATTCTTACGTACATGGAAAAATGACGGTGAACAACAACATCTCACATGTCTTATGATGGACATTTTGAGACATATTGAAAAACTTCAAAAAGATAGTCAAAAGTCAAAGATTATTATGACTGATATAGAGCTCTCAAAGAAAGTTGCTGTGGATTCAATTGCATTGATGGAAAATGAACCTTATCCAGGTGGAAATGAAGAAAAACTTATGAATTGTCTTGCAGGTGAAAATATTGAAGAAACTAATACAGATATTGTTGAGGAAGTCCCGAGAGAACGACGTAATTATTTTGTTTCTACTAAAAGGTGTTGGTCTGCAGTGAGAAAAGAAATAGTATTAAGCTGCAAGGAATTTCTTTCTCAGAGATTGGCTGTAGACCAAGGAAACTTTATAGAACGCATGAATAAATTTATTGACGCAAGATCTTCAACTGACACTATTCAAGCAGGACGGACTGACGTTTTAAATCTATTTGGAGAACACGCAGTTTCTTGTTTTACCGACGATGTTATAAGTCTTTATGCTGCAGACAGACTTCCACCTCCTCTAGAAATGAATAACTCTACAGCAAAAATGTACCATTTTTTAAAGGTATCAACACAGTCTTCAATATTTTCAAAATTGGTGCAGTCGTTTATCAGTTTAACACCACATAGTGCTGGACCAGAGAGAGCTGTATCACTACATACGACATTAAAAACGAACAAACAATCGAGTTATTCAAGAGAGGCTATAAATTCAAGGATGTATATCGCTCTCAATGGGATTGGGACAGCACTGTTTGACCCAAGGCCAGCAGTTGCTAAGTTTCTAGAGTCTAAAGAGAGAAGGAGGAAACTACCTGACCCAGATCTATACAAGAATCAAGAATTTATACAAACATTTTTTTCAATTGATTCAAACTTGTAATTTTAAATTTTAATATATATTTTTTTTAAATACAGATACTGATAACTATATATATATATACATACTCTCTTCTACTTATTTTATCAAGTTTTTATAATTGAAAAATCGGTTATGTTGATACTTGATATATTTCTCAGTAGAGTACAGTTAATAAACCTATATTAAAATTGTTTGAGATAGAAGAGTTGATTTCCTCCTATGTTCCTGTCGTAGAAAATTTTATTGAAGTGCCACCCAGTTAAAATTACTTAAAATATGCTCTGATATATACCTAATTAAGTATTCATTTCAGAACAATTAGAATCATATCATCCCAATCTTAGTGACGTGGTAGCCAATGTTAGCAATGATGTACATAATGATACTGCAGTTAACAAGACACAATTATTGAGCAACAGATATGATGTATCAATGTCCAACTCTGCAAATGATGAAGCCCAAGCAGGTATTTATGAATAGGAAATTAATCTACATAATATAACAGTCAGTTCAATATGTATTGTATTTTTTAAGTTTTTACTTTTTTAAATTCACACAGTTTTAACTGCTTGTTTTGAAAGAGTATATTTTTGGAGTACTTTGATATATTAAAAACACATCTGCATCTGAGTAGTTTATGATTTATAAGTGATTAAAATTAAGCTAAGCAAATTAGTCATTTACCATATTAATCAACGGCCAGGTACTCCAAAAAATGTTGGTCCACTAATCTGATCATGTATAATTTTTTATTACTTATAATAGGAGATGTTCGGGGTAGATAATTTTTTATAAACAGGTTAGGGCTGGTAAAAGTTTAGTATTACGACAGATACCGGGTAAGTTCCAAGTCTTAATTATGATATTGAGTACTCGGCCATCAAGTCATTGCCGTGTATCCGGAACATCTCTACTTATAACTATATAATTAGAATATTATCTTCTGAAATTTGATTTATATATATATATATATATCAAAATACTCATTAATAAATTTTAGAATATGCAAATTAATAATTAAAAATGTAATAATTATGTTGTCATTCAAAAAATTATAACAATAAAAATTGTAAAAAATATATTTTAAAAGAAAAATTGTTTAGTAAGACTTAAAATAATTATATAAAATTAATGATTAACTGTTTTTGAAATAATGATGAACCCATAATAATGGTCCAAGATAAAAGAATCGCCCATATATCTGATACATGTTTATATTATACATTGTGTCTTACCTTCAATAGATAATCCTATATTATGTATTATTATATTTATATATCTTTATTATCATACTGTAACTAATTATATATTTGTTTTATTTTGTTTTATTTATTTATTTTGTTATTGATTATAGTATTTCAAAGACATATGTCTCGAATTTTGGTTTTGACGGAATTGCGACTTGAAGAACACACAAAAATATTGTCAAATATCATGTTGGCTCTAAGTCAAATTAATGATTCAGCTAAAAACCCAGTTTCATTATCTCCATCATCAAATATGTCTTCTGATAAGTTAGCAGCAGGAATTTATTCCAAATTACCCTTGAACAATAATGAAGAAATGGCTGGCATAACATCTCAAATCATTAATGATGAAGATACATTGTTGAAACTTGTATATAAGCTTCATTCGTTTAATGTTTATTTTTAAAAAATAATTAACATTATGTAATATATAATATATACAAACATGTTTCATTTCATTATCAATGTATTTTCAGGCTAAAATGCTAATTACACTGATTAGTGGCTCTGATGTGAAACAATTAATAAGGAGAATTTTAAAAAAACTTATTACTGATGAGCTTGCAATTGAATACAACTATACTGGACACAAAAATACCAAAAAACCATTTAATAAAACAATTTTGTCAACTTTATTAACTCGTAAGTATTTTCAACATTATAATATATTATATAGAATTAATTAATTTATATTGTATAATAAGTATAGGTAACTTAACTTAGGTTAGTTGACCTACTCTTTTTTAAACTATACCATTTAACATAAAAAGGTTGAATTCGTCAAAACCTGGCTTTGTATAAAAATTCCTGTTTTCTCTGATTTCTTTTTTGTTCATCCCGATTATTTTAAAAGTAGGTATTGGGAAAAGAAAACGTGGACGGCACTGTAAAAAACACCTCATTATAAAATAAATATTGATTTGTCACTTTCTTCGGAATCTAAAATATATTTATAATATTTTTCTTATTGTTATTAAGTACCTAATTATGCATATATATATATTTTTAGATGCTGTACAGATGGTTTTCAGTAATACAACAATAAAAGAAATTGAGTTAACGACAAGCATTTGGCTGACAAAAGCTCCAGAAAGATTGAAAAACAAAAAAAATTAAAATTTTAATATTGTATTTTATTACGATTTGGAAAGCATCAGATTGTTTTTAATTAATATGTTCAATTGAATAAAAGGATTATTCTAATTATAAATCAATTTGTTTATTTAAATTACTCAAATAAATTACTACAACTTAATTTGTTGTAATTTAGTATATAATATGATACTTGGTCATTTGAGAAAATAGAAATATTGATGTATAGTGATATTGTGATAGCATAGAATTATTTATTATATAAGTATGTATAAATTAAAATAAATATATAGGTAATCTAAAGTTAAATGAGTATCAAATATTTATAGTACTATATATATTAGTGTATTATGGAATGACCTAAATAGAAATTTATTTAATAGATGATTTTTTTCCCCCCCAACTATTTAGTTATCTTATGTGGGGAACAGGAAACACTATATAATAATTGATAGATATTTTTTCATCAAGAGTAAATATTTTTTTAAAAAGTGGTTATATATATCTAAATATAAATATATCAATATAACATTGAAAAATATAAGTTGTATCACAATTTAAGAATATGAAAATCATAAAATAATATATTCTATTAATATATAAAATAACACAATAAGTTTATTCTTATAATGTTTATAAAAAATATTAAATAAGTATTCTTTGATTATTTTTTATGAATAATAGAATGTTGATAAAATAAACTTAATATATCCCTGAATATGACATTCTTATTTACAGGGATTATCCATATCATATATAAAATCGACGCATATGCATCATGTTATCACAATCAACGAATATCCACAGCATACAAATTATTATTCTAATAATAACCGTTCTTCAAAAAATATTATTCTATAAATATACTATGTTTATCATTTGGTTTGTTGGGATATTATATTATATTGTATTTATATTATTAATTTTGCATGTAATGCAGGTTAATAAAACTTAATAATTTTCGTTTTTTAGATATCTTGCAAGTGGATGCACTTTCACAGATCTTCACTATACATATAGAATTGGTATTTCAACAGCAAGCATGATAGTAAAAGAAGTATGCAATGCTATTTGGTCAGTAATGAAATCGGAATTTCTACCCACACCTTCAAAAGAAAACTGGGAAACAATCGCATTGGATTTTGAAAGAAATGATAATTTTCCCCATTGCATAGGAGAAGTAGATGGGAAGCACATTCGGATAATTTGCCCATCTGGCAGTGGGTCCATGTATTATAACTACAAGCAATATAATTCACTGGTATTGATGGCAATAGCTGATTCAAATTACCGGTTTGTATATGTTAATATTATAAGTTATGGGAAAGATTGCGATTCTGCTATTTTTAAGCGAAGTGAGATATGGAAATCTATTACAATGGGAACGCACCAGCTTCCAGAACCGAAATGTCTGCCGGGTACTGATAGTCCTAATGTGCCTTATTTTTCGTTGGAGACGAAGCCTTCGCATTACACAAACATTTATTGCGGCCGTTTGGAGGATCAAACCTCTCAATAGAAAAAAAAATATTCAACTATCGCTTAAGTAGAGCGAGGCGATATATTGAATGTGCATTTGGAATTTTAAGCAATAAGTGGCGAATTTTCCACCGACCAATAAACGTGGAACCAGATTTTGCAGTTGATATCGTCAAGGCTTGTGTTGTTCTTCATAATTTTGTGAGAGAGAGGGATGGAATATTGTTTGAAGATAGTACAACAATTACAGGGTTGGAGGATTTACAACCAGAATATTCATCTCGTGGAGGTTTATCAGCAAACAATATACGACAAACATTATGCGACTATTTTGTAAACGTTGGATCAGTCCCGTGGCAAATGTCAAAAGTGTAAATATTTTAAATGTCATAATATTATAATATTTTAATATCATAAATATCATAAATACTTTAAATTTGAATTAAATTAAATATACTACTCAAAAATAAATAAATATACAAAAAATATACAAACTCACCAAATTCATTTTTTTCACTATTTTGTAAGCTGTTGAAATTTGATTTTAGTTCAACACACACTTCTTCCCAAGCGTTTTTTGTTCCATTCCTATCCCTATACAGTTCTTGGGATTTATCCCATAAGATGGGTCTGCATTCCACAGCAGAGATTAAAATGTCTGTGTCGATATCCATGTTTTTTTATTAATTATTTCTAAAAAAATAGACAACAAGTACCTTTGACAACAGACGGTTGACGACTAAAAACCGTGAAGTATGAATACGCGTGTCTAGTCACGTAGGGCACTGATAAGACGGCGACGGCACGGCCGTCGTGATTTTCAGTCGTACGGATAAAATTCGCCCACCGTCCCGTGCGAAATCCACAACTAATTTTATTTGTTTACTGCCAAATAAAATCCGTACTATTAAAATCCGCACGGACGAAACCGTAATGTGTGAAATGGGCCTAAGACTATTTTTGCGTTAGGTTTTGGCATAATAAAATATTTACTATTATATTACTATATTTACTATGTAGACTACAAAAGCAGACTGATGTGACTGTATATCTGTCGTCTGCGCGTGTAATCAGTTATCAGTAATCAGTTGTCATAAAGTTTAATATTTACTAATCAGTTGTAATCGACAATGGCTCAAATAAAGAGCATTCGAGGTCGAGGTATAATCACCTAATCAGTTGTAATCGACAATGGCTCAAGTAAAGAGCATTCGCGGTCGAGAAATTACACCCACGATGGATTTATGTACACATATGATGCATATAATAGTAGATACATTGTGTATGTTCTGGGACCCAATTCTTGAAATCATTCTACTATTTGTCGTATTGAAATACGATTTGGAAAAAAGAATTTGTGTGAGCGCTAAACTGGATTTGATCTTTATTGTCATTTGTAATCTAAAGGCTAATAATAATCTTTTTTTTAAGGTTTTAGTAGCTTTAAATTTTTTTGCTACCGGGTCGTATCAAACGTCAGTTGGCAATAGTCGATTAATGAATTTGTCACAGTCATCTGTATCTAGATGTGTAAAAGAAGTAGTTGCTGCATTGAACCAGCCCGAAATATTTAACACTTGGGTAAAATTTCCTAGCAATATTCAAGAGCTTGATGAAGTCTGTAACGAGTAATATAATATGTTAAATTAAAAATGTACATTATAAAAGATTATGTGCTGTTTAAAACTAATTTTGTTAAAACTGTGAAGGTTTTATAAAAAAAACTGGATTTGCTGGTGTAATAGGCTGCTTAGATTGTACTCACATAGCTATTGTATCTCCTTCAAAAAATTTGAATCTTGTTGAAAATCAATATCCAGAATATATGTATGTAAACCGCAAGAGTTACCATTCAATTACTGTTCAGCTAGTAAGTAGGATTACCAGCTATTATAAAATTACAAGTAAATCATAAATTATGTTTCCAAAGTAACTACACAATGCTCCACTTTTTAAATATAGGTATGTGATTCAAATCTAAAAGTACTGAATGTAAACGCACTGTTTCCCGGAAGTACTCACGATGTCCACCTATGGAACAACAGCAATGTTTCAATCATGCTCGAAGAACTACATACAAATAATTATAGTGACTACTTTTTATAAGGTAAGTTTTATTTCATAATACTAGCAAACCATAATAATTTGTGTACCTACTAGGAAGAGATACATATTATTAACTTTCTCACAACTTAAAGTGGTTACATGATACAACCAGTTGACAAAAAATTAATTATAACAATATGTGTAATTTAAGTATAAGTATTACAAACTTTTTTATGTATTTCGATAGGCGATTCTGGTTATCCGTTACGCCCATGGTTCCTAACGCCTATTGCGCAGCCAAAGAAAATTACAACAAAAACCAAATGTATGTAAGAAGTGTAATAGAAAGATGCAATGGAGTCCTAAAAATGCGGTTTAGGTAGCAAATCAATATTTTCTTAAGTTTTATTCAATGTGTTGGTAATACCATTGGTACTTTTAAATCATGTGTAGGTGTCATTTGAAGGACAGAGTACTCCATTATAAGCCAGAAAAAGCCACTGCTATAATTAATGCATGCATTGTTCTACACAACATGTGTATCGAGCACAATATTGTTGAAGTGATAGATGAAACTGTAGATTTTGATTTGGGAATGTATCACAATCAAGAACCACTCAATGAACACGTGAATGATAACCGTAATAAAAATTTGATGTTAGGAAGAAGACAACGAGACAGAATTGTAGGGTTTCTTCAAAATCGAAATTTAATACAACCATAAGCAACTGTTTCAATTTCATAAAGTATATTATACTAAGTATTTAGTCATTATAATTTAAAATAAAATAGTTAATTTGTTAATAAATGGCAGTCTTGCAATTGTTGAGTTAATTATTATTACAATATAATTACTCGATTGATTATTTAATCTATCTGTTTGAAAAACTACGATAGCAAATTATGGATATTTGCATATATATTTGTTGTATCTTTGTTTAGTGTTTTACCAGTAATATTACTTTCTTCAATACACTGCCATGATTTGAATCTAAATGTATATTAATTTCTCTTGGACAATGAAACCAAATCATTTATCAATTTATATGTATACGCATCTTTATAAGTCACAATTGGTATGCTAATAAGTAATTCTTAAATAACAACTTTTCCAGTTCCAGGCACCACATCTGTTTTATCATTTTTGTCTCTAAATAAAGCATCATCGTCAGTACTTACGTCTTACAAAAATTATTTCAAAACCTCCTCTATATACTGGGTATTCTATATCTTTAAAAAATCCAAAACACAAATTAGACAAGTTACCAATAGCACTAAAATTACCACCACCACTAAATTTTTATTGAAATCCACTATTTATTGTTGGTCCACTAAGATCTGCAGAATAACTAATTGTACCTTTAATCAAACTAGCTCTACCAACATTATCAATTCTATCTAATTCTTTACCATGTTTTTTAACACAAATTGACTAAAACAAGAATCCAGGAAAATTGTCAACTAATATTACATTGGAACCTTTAGGATAGCTAGTACCATCAGCCTGTAAAACTTGACCAGAATTTTCAAATGTTGCTTTTTTAACATTTAAAAAACTATCTTCTTCTTGTATTTTAAAAGTAGTACTTTTATTAGGATCATTAAGATTTTTGGTTGTTATAGGTTCAAATATAATATTCTGTTCACGGATAATAGCATGGTCATATTGTGCAAATATATTTTCCATTTATAAGGAAAAAATTTAATAAAGTTTTAAAATTTAAAATTCTTAGTAAAATCTAAACATAAATGACCGCATATAGGTGGATCAGTATAAGTTTGTAATTTTTCAGTGGTGTAATATAAATCATCTTTTCCTAAATAATTTACAACTTCTTCAGGCGGAGGGAATCTCCAAAAGAGTCAAAATATACTTTTTTATTATCATTTTTTATCCAGGCCACCCAATGTGAACCAGGTTGATTAGAATTATTTAAATTTAATATTCCACATTCATTTTTCCAAGGTTTTGTTGGTAACTCATCTTTCATAAAACAACCTTTAAAATTCTTAATATTTTTTCCTGGTTTAATAATATCAAAATTAGTTAATGGTTTTATTTCTTTATTTTGTTTTTTTTAAGACTTGAACCAATCTGTAAAGTTTTAATATTTCTAACATTTTCTTCTATCATTCTATCATGTCTTTCTGTCTCATCTCGTTTTAGTTTCTTATCTTTTGCATCAATAACTATTTGCAATAGCACTAGCGCATCCTGCACTAAGAGCACCTATACCTGCTATGATAAGAGGTAAAAAACCACCTACTTTATCTCCGAATTGAGATTTTGTAATTTTTAATCTCACCCCTTTTTTATCTTTCTTAGCTTTAGATAACATATTATTTTGTCGATCAGTAAAATCGATTTGTTTTTTCCATTACCAATCTGTGTATGCTTTAATTGAATAACTAAATCAATTTTGTTTTTATAAGCTTTTACAAGCTTTTTTATTTGAAAATCACTCAAATCCAAATTCATTTAATAGAAATAAAAAGTTATTAAATCAAATTAAACTCATACCAAAATACCTTTTTGCTTTCATTGCATTTGTAGTGATATAAGCAGCTGCTTTTTCACCTGTAGATGCATCTGGGGCTAAAAGCCTATCCCATGCTTTATCTTCCAACATTTTATCTCCAATATATCTTGTTTTAATATCTTTATATTTTTATAAAAATAATCATGTTCCATTGCTGCCATATCTAGTTTATTTACTGGCTTCTAATTTTTTTCTAAATCAGTAAAAGGTCCAAGATAATTATAACCAGGCCAATGTATTTCAGGCATAAATTTACTGTTTAAAAGATTATTCATAAGACCTGATCCTTCAACAACTTTCTCAGGCAAACTTGTTACATAAGATATTAAATACTCAATTCCTTGTGGGGTAGTAGCTAATCTTTCCAACTCAGAACTAAAAAAATGTGCAATATCAATCTTTTCATTATCAAAATTATTATTTCCTGCTTTTTCTTCACTAGCGATAAAATATAATCTCTTTAATAACTCATTTAAATGATGTATATATCTATACTCAATATGATCTTCTGTATATTCCATTAAACCTTCTCCTTCTTTTTCTTCTTGTGAAGCAGTATCTATCTGATCTTTTTCAGCTTCCTTGGGTGGTATATAAGGTTTTATATCATTCCACCAAATATCAGCAATCATTTTATTATATTTTTCCCCTTTATTTGAATATCATTTAAATTATGCATATATTTATAATCATTATGTTCTCCTTCTGTATATTTTATTAAACCTTCTCCTTCTTTTTCTTTAATTTTTTTTGGTGATGTCGGTGTCGCTGGTCTTATTTTTTGCCAAATTGGTTTAATCATCTCATTATATTTAATACTTGAACTTGATTTAGGTTTGTTTGTCTTAGTTGAGTCATTATTTTGGTATATTGAATCTGTTTCAATTAATATTTTTTCATAATTTTCAAAATCTTCTGTTGTATAAAAACCTTGTTTTGTAAGATCTTTATGAGTTAATAATCTCCACATACCTAGAGTCATTATACGTTTTTTTCCATTTAAAATTATATCATCAAAATCAAAAATTATTGGATATTTTCCGATCATATGTTGTTCAGTATCTGCATTATAATATATTCCAAACTGATTATTTTTTTCTAAATCAGATAAATATTTCTTTGCATTTTCACCAAGTATTATTGCATCTTTAGGCATAGGAGATTTTGGTGTTTCACTCATTGGAGGTCGTTTAGGTGTGTCCATTATCATTGGTGTTTTTATTTCTAAAGGGGTTTTTATTTCTAAAGGTGATTTAGCACCTAAAGTTGGTTTAATTGGATCTGCCAACCTTAATATTTCAGGGCGCCTTAATGGTACTAGCATTTTGTGAATATCTTCATCGGTTTTAATATTTATTTCTTTAACTTCATTAACAGCATTTACAATATTTTTTAATTCATTCGTTACAGGACTAAATGATTTCTCTTTTTCCTCTTCAATATATATGTTTCTTAAAGTTGTATTTTTAAGCCCCTTCTTCAGGTTATTTTCAAGTTTGATTATTTCATCTGCTTCTTTAACAGACGTTATATCTTCTCCTTTTTTAGCTACAAAGCCTCCTTTTTTTCTATGTTTTGTTACTTTCCCCCTCTCTTTTAAAAAAATATTCCTCATATCTTTTATATCCATTTAATATAAAAAATTTTAATAAATTTATGGGATTTATGGGATTTGGTGACAACATTGACACGTGTCCAAATGGGACACATGTCAATAATAGACATAAAATGCATAAATTTATAAAGAACCTATCACGTGCCCCGTTCGGGCACGCGTTAAAAATAGAAATGAATTACATAAATTTAATATTGCTTGCATTTTTGCAAACATGTCTTGCGAATAAACAAAATCATATTTTACGTTATGCGTTTACGTTATGCGTTTACGTTATGCGTTGATGTTATACGTTGACGTTATACGTTTAGGTTCTGCGTTGACGTTATAAGTTGATTGCTTGCTTTTTTGCAAGCAGGTCTTGCGAATACGTTAATGTTTAAGTCTAAATTCATATCTTTTTAAATCTGTTAAATCAATTGAAATAAACCCAAACTTATTTTTCCAGCAAGTTGAACATAAAGATTTAAATTTATCAAAAACTATATCATTACTCAAAAAATCTTTCCATATTCTCCTAAACCAAGTTGCAAATTACAAAACCATGGTTGCAAATAGTTGCAAATCAGGGGCAAAATGTTGGGACCAGTTTCGTTCCTGTACGAGCATTTGGGGGGGCTACGTGAAGTTGGCCCCCCCAAAAATAAAATAAAAATTGTGTTGCAAGTATTGAGTTGCAAATTATGAAACCATCGTTGCAAATAGTTGCAAATCAGTTGCAAATTTTTGGCGTATGTTTTGTAATTATATGAAAACATGGGGGGGGGCCAACTTCACACACGTCCCTTTTGGCCCAACAATTTACAATTGAATATAATATATAATAAAAAGTAGTAATATAATTAATAATGAAACGAAAAACTCATAGTTTGTGGAGCGCAACTGGCCAGCTGGTCCTGTCCTATAATGTGAGGACAATAATACACGGAAATGACAAAATAATAGTATATATAAGTATTGCCTTTATGGCACACAATAATAAAAAAAAAACAATAATATATAAATTTTAGCACGAGCTGATGTTTTTGGAACGACGTACGATACGAGACAAAATCACGGCGGCCGTGTTAAAATATTATTTGGCTTTATCTACGTATTATATAATTCACAATAAAATACAATACACATTCAACGATAATAATAATAAAACATGCAAATAGTGATATGTGAGTGTGTGTGTGTCCAGCTGTTCCCCGGTGACCGATGTCCTATATTCTTATTTTTAATTGGGTAGGTACTATATATTGCGTAATGCTTTTATGTTGCGGTAGCAACACATATCATTACTCAAAAAATCTTTCCATATTCATCCAATATAAAAATCTGACTGCTTAAATATAATTAAAAAATTACAATTTGTTCTGATTGCTTTTAAATCTAATAAACTATAATTCTGACTTATATAAATACATGAAATATTTTTAGATCTTGATCTTACAAAATATTCTTTTATTCTATCTTGTTTATCTAAAATATAATCATCAAAAACGACTAAGCTATCTGGTTTACAGTCATCAACAGATATTATCTCTTCATTAGTTATATATACCTCTACATTATTCAATTTTG